CATTATAAGTCTCCTAATTTATAAAAACAATTCTTTCTATATATATGAGTTTATATATTGTTGCATTAAGTTGTAGGAGTTGATTGAAACCGTTGATGCATTTATTACTATCCTTGCCTACCTTATTACCTTTTACCCTGTTAGGTTAGGATCGAATAACTGCTTAGCCTTGCTTAGACCGGTAGCAATCGGTGATATCCGGTCACCTACATTATAGGTGGTTACTGGAAGAATTTAGCTATGGAAGGAATGATATCTTGGAATTAACCATGTGTGATGGATAATTGGAGACCGAACGGAAAAGTTGGAGGCAACCAAACAGGGTTCTGGGGTGTTGTTAGTTTCCGTCAGTGTCGATTAAGGACCGATCGTTGCTCATCTCTCTTGTCAGGTTGAACGCATGCCTTACATTTAGCTGGCCGAATAAAGCACCTTTCGACCGCGAAGCTGGGAGATTATTCGGGCCGAGTAGATTGCCCGCAGCGCACTGTATCGGAGCAGGAGTGGTAGGACACGGGGGCGCGATGATAAGACCAAAGGGCAGTCAGTCGGCCCCCGGGTACATGTGATTCCTAGCAAACTCGAGATTTTCCTGGATAGTTGACTCGGTGACCGATATCTCACTTTAACGGGTGAGTGAGGTTTGTGTAAGGAATAAATCACCAGCTAGTTAGGAATCGGTTCGAATCGCCATCGCTCCTGGATAGTGAGCACTTGACTCGAGCTACGACATCGTAGTAATTATTATGGAACAATGATGGTTATCTGGATGGTATGGGATATGCTAAATCTAAATTGGTAACTGGATGTTATTGGTTAATCAAGTGATTGCTATAGTACAGGTGCTTACCTAGATGGATAGGTTATAATAAAGATGATGCAAAGTACTTAAAATGGTTTCTTCATGATAACTTATGCTTTTCGCAAACGAGTCAGGTAGCCCACTAAAGAAAGCCTTGCATAATCCTTGGTGTCATTTGTTTTGGTTTCCGACGGGTAAGTCTAGCTGAGTACATTCGAGTACTCAGGGTTTATCTCACCTTGTTGCAGGTGAAGTTCTCGACCTGTTGATGATGGTGGCTAACCGCCGGTGGGCTCAGTGATTCTATATTTACTTCTCATCTATATGCTTTTGTCTGAGGATGTCACTTATGCTAGCAATGTATTTGGAACTTATATTAATGTAATCATTTGAAAGCTATATTGTTTTCAATAATTGGTTTTGAAACCCAAACTTGTACTATTATTTGTGAACCCATTTGTAACATTATTTCTTCTGCAACTCTACGTATGTGATGTGTATTTGCTTAATCACGCGATCTTGGTTGTGATGTTGATTTACCGAGGTCTTTCGAGACACTCGGCGGACTACCGGGTTTATATAAGTGAAAGTATGCGCGTGTCAATGTGTTAGCTAGGACAGCCGTACTTGATCTTGTATAAATTGGGCGGTTCTGTCACACCTAGCTACACGCCGAAAGCGTCCACTGCTACTGTCGACCGTTGCCAAGCCTCAATTTGACGGTTCCATCACCATCGGTCATTTTAATGAGCCCGCAGCAGCGCCGCGCAATTCCCCTAACCCACGTCCACCGCAGTCCTATTCGTTGGCACTGAACCTTTGCCGTGCTCCACTCTACCCCGTGTGCACCCTAGTTCGCCCTGCTGCTGCCTGCTCAGCGCTGCCGCCGTAGTCGCGCCATCGCCGCCGTCGCAAGGCCTGTCGTGTGCGCGTGGCCAGGTTCGCTCGGGCAGTCTACGGTCAAGCCACCGCGACCGGTAGGTTCGGGGTGAGTCTCTGTTGCCCATCCGTGAGCTGGTTCATGCTGTCTGTGCTTTGGCTCATAGGAACACGCCTGTCGTCGCAGGGAGAAGTCTGTCGCCTTGAAGGGAGCTCGGGACAACGTCCCCATTCGCCGTATCGCCTCCCACCGCTTTGCGTTGATGTCGAGGTGAGCATTGGCTCCTTAGATAGGACTGGGAGGGTCGGGGTGAGCATTGGCTCCTTAGATAGGACTAGGAGGCTCCTTAGTAAATGCGTGGCCCTTGGGCAGGGCAATCTATTTATGTGTTTTGTATTATGTTATAATGCCACTCCGCTACTTTGATTTGTAATAATTATCGAACTTAGTTGTATGGTTTGAACAAATGGTTTGTAAACTATGTTATTGTAAGACTTCCACTGATTTACTCTGGTGTCGTTATTTGAATAAATGTTGTAATACTGCAATGACTCTGTAATGGGATCCTGCTTGGAAATCGTGGATGATTCGGGGTTCCCCGAGGACACCCGACAGTTTTCTTAAGTTAACAGGAACATATGCATAGTTGTCAAAGGTCGTTGGACAGTGACAGATGCGTATGTGCCCAATAACTTAGGAGGTTCTGCCACAGTAATACATGAGAAGTACCATTGTGTGGAGGATTCTTCTGGTGGGCATAGACGGATCCTCGTTCTTATCGCTAGATGTTTATTTTAAATTCCGTTGTTTATCATTCCGCACTCTGACATTTGGTAATGTAATAATGTATTTTTAAAAAAACTCTGATATATGAAATGGATAAATATTATAACTCGTTCTCATTATTGGACCATTGAGAAAAATATGGATTTTTTGGGTTCTCTCTTGAGGTATGCCCGACGAATTCCGTCCGCTGTAGCTTGCTTTCGGGGTGCTTAGTATTTGGTGGAAGACGAGGACCTCCGTAAGCGTGTTATTTCGGATGGTTCTGCTACGTAGCCTTGCAAAATGAAGATGCATGGTTGCACTAAGCAAAGTAATACAAGTGACTACTCAAAACTTTCGAAACACCATGCTAAAATGAAGATGCAAGGTGTCCACTACAGAGCAATAAGCCAATAAGTGACTAGTAAATAATAAGCTGGGAACTCATGATATTTATGTAGCTTTTTTCCTAACCTTTTTTTTGCATGTTTTTAAAACATGTGTTATTTTCGTCCATCTAGTTGTAAACGTACGTTCAAACAGGGAGGAGTATATGGCGTGCCCTGAGTAGCAAACTGGACGAATTACAGCATTCTAAAAAAATATGGTACGAATTAAAACCCAGATTGAAGTATGTTGATCGTCAAAATCTTAGTGCATGTTTAACCTGACCTTGTGATCTCTGTATACGTAGCATATGCTCCTAATCGCGGTTGTAAGAGACTTTCCAATCATGCGGCTATGCTTTATTTCGAGTTATAGCAAAGGCGCGGTGTTTGATGATATCATACAAACTTCTAGATAGTCCCTCCTACTACGACAGGCGAAAGCCTGTTCGGCTGGACATTTACGGTCGTAAATTTTTAGTTGGAATAGTATTTTTCTTTCACACAAACTAGTCAGCAATATTTCTCCACGAATCAACAACGAACCAGCCTAGCCTGCTGAACAGGCTACAGATAGGTGAGGTCCGTGGAACTGTGGAAGGAACATTGGCCTTCCTCCTCTGTATTTATTTAATTTGGTCTAATGAGTGGTGTAACTAACCCGGTGAGATTAAAGCCCCCTTTGGCATGACTCATCCAAAACGGCTTCACCAGTGAAGCCAAAGCCGGTGAAGCCAGAAAAACTGGATTTTTTCGGCTTCTAGTTCATTTTAATCTCGGCTTACAAAACGGCTTCACGCTACAGTGCCTCGATTTACGCAAAATAAATGAAACCAAAGCCGGCATAAGCCATGCCAAAGAGGCCCTAAAATGAGCACTATCGGAATCATGAGATAGTGGACCAAGTAGAGTGCAGTGGATAAGTCGATTACTCAACGTGTTCCGTCCACTCCACTATTTGTCTACTGACAAAAAAATACAGTACGGAATGACTGTTCACACTCTAATACTCTATTACTCTTTTTATGTTTGCATTTAATTATGGTAAGGAATAGAAAATTTGCAATAGCTAAACTCTTTAATTTGATATTCTCATTGCATAGCTTGCCACTATCTTCATATACAAATACTATGCTCAATTACCGAATTACATAGACTCAGGTCGTGTTTAGCATGTACTTTTATACTCTTAGGCTCCGTTCGCTTCATTGGAAAAAACAAGACAAAACACTGTTCCGGCTGATTTATTGTGAGAGAAAAACACTGTTCCGGTTAAAAAAAAAACAAGCTGAAAAGTACGAATTATAAGAGAAGCGAACATGACCTCAGTGGATAGTTCCTACAAATAAAATTTTTATCCAATTATCCGTCTTTTCTCTCGTATCATCTATTTATCATAGCCTTTTCTAGCACGCAGACATGGGTTTTTTAAAGATACGGTTTTCTTACATCTCTTTCTTATTAATTTCAATGCCACATTAGTATTTTGCAAGCTTGGTACTTTAAGTCTTATTTGAAAGTGCTCCTCCTCAAGGGCTTCTTTTAAGGAGCCCGTTTTAGAGGAGCCATGAGAATGACTTCGGTTAAAAAGGCTTTAAATGGCTCTTTTATTAAACCATTTGATATAAACGTGAAACCACGTTTTATGGTTTCAGCGTCGAACTTTGGCTACGATGGAGGAGGCTATGCCCACGGAGCTATGCGAGGCACATAGTCCCCCCTTCCTAAAAACACATAGGATCATCCCGTGCCCACCGTCGTATCTTTTTGTCCTCCAATCAAACACAACACAAATCCGTTTGAGCAGGGAAAAAAATAACTCGGGACCACTGTCATCCTCGGTAGATACCACACCCTCACTACTTCTGACCAGTCATATCATTTTGTCCTTAAATCAAACACAACATAAAGGTCTGTTTGGAATGCGGGATTTTTTCACTATTTCTACGTTTTTTCTGAAATTGAACTGATTTATGTGAAATTCCTACGTGATTCATGTGAAATTCCTGCGTTCTAAACAGGCACTTAAGCAGGGGGAAATAACTCGGGCCCACTGTCAGCCTCTGTAGGCTCCTCACTGGTCTCTCCAGTCTCCAGTCTCCACTCCCACTGCACTCTCGTCGCTGGACCTGGATTCCAACCGCGTCCCCGGAGGCCAGAGCGAGCCATGAAGTCTGTCAATGTCGCCGAACACAAGCACCACCACCATGGCCTACACTCCCCCACGCCGGCGTCGGCGACCAAGATCTCGATTCCCGTCTCTTCCGGCGAGGCGGCGCTGTTCGGGAAGGGTAGGTACAAGGTGTGGGCCCTCGCCGCCATCGCGCTCCTCGCGCTCTGGTCCATGTTCGCCGCCTCCGTCACGCTGCGCTTGTCCTCCGGGGAGCTCGCCGCCACGTTCGGGGACGTGAGCGATCCGCTCATCGACGATCTCGACCCCCTCGTACGGCTCATCAATCCATTCCCTTGCTTTCGCTACTAGATCTCGCCGCTTACTTGGTTGTTCATCCTCTTCATAACTTCCAATGTGTAAAATATAAATGGTGCCAAGAGCTTTCTGTCATTACAAAAGGGAAACGAAAGTAGATGGTGTGTTTACAGTCTAGATTAAATGGGTGATTGTTTAGAAGATAAATCTAGTCTAAGTCAGGAAAAAGTGGGAGGTAATTGTCAGGTTAGCACTGAGCTCATTTGCCCTTACAGTATTTCACAATTTCAGGACGATTGGCACTGTGTTAAACTGTTAATAAACAGCTACACTTACATGAACTTAATTCTCCATTGGTTGCAAGGCGGTTAAATTGTTTCAGCTAGACTAGACAAACATCTCTTTTGTCATGCACTCATGCTTTTGGGCTGTGACGACAAGACTGAAATTTGCCTAACCTTGGGTTGAACAGGAGATGGAGCAAAGGGAAAAGCTAGTGCGCCGGATGTGGGATGTGTACACACACACGGATAATCATGTACGGCTTCCACGATTCTGGCAAGAAGCATTTGAGGCTGCATATGAGGAGCTTGCTGGTGATGATACGCTTGCTACTGATGCGGCTATATCTGAGATTGCTCGCATGTCAATCCATAGGCCTGAGCTTGAGCAATCGTGGAATAGGAATTAGGTATGAACTAACTGGTCTATTTGCGAGCTCAGTGACTACGTCTGAATGTTGTCTCCTTTTTTTAGGATGTGTCATCAAATCTTAATGCAGCAAAACATTTTTCAAACATATATGTAGTGCAGACTTATATGTTTGCACCTTCCAGATATGTAGTGCAAACCTATGCGGCAATATTTTGCCTATTTATGCTTGGTTTGCCTTGTGAGCATTCTCTGGTTCTCATTATCAGCAATAAAGTGGCATCATATTGTAACCTTCGGAAGTTAATGAAAAATACATATACTAAAGTTACTGCTCCTGTAGACTGCTGCACGTGTTAACTTTTCTGAATCCAGTGCTGCAACTAAAATCAAAGTTTGAGACGTATTATAAGTTGTTGTAGTAATGAGTTATATCTCATCTGAACACAGATTCCATTTATGTTAATGGTATGTGTCCCTCATTGTCCTTTCCCTCATTGGCTGGTTTTTTCATTGAATACTGAGATCCCAGTTTCTCAATTCTGAAAATTGATCATGTTCATGTATCAGACAAGAGGAGAGTTCAGTTGACAACCTGTACTATTGTTTTACTGCATATACATTTGTACTTCGAAAACCCACACATTATTTCAATTTGGTAGCCGTCTTGAAGTTTGAGAGTCTCCTCTTTAGTTTCCGGTTTCAGATAATAAATTGTACTTAGTATATAAACAAGGAAAGAAGATTTGGTGGTAAATTACCAACAAAAAAGAGTAGGTGGTTATCTGACAGAAAGAGGGAAACTGTAGGTATCTGTACTGCAAAATTGTGATCCGAACAGAAAATTCCTATAGCAATTTTTGATATGGTGCTCTTGTAATTATACAAAATACCTGGTATATCTAGATTGGTGCCGCTTGGTATTTTCAGTGAGTTATCGCTTGCTCCTATCTGTCAGCAATTATGAAAGTGAATGTGTGGATTATTATATTCATAAATGTGAATGATGTGAAGTTCCTATTTGTTTATGAATCGATACTAGAGCATAATGAGTAAGATCTGGTGTAAACAGTGTTCCATGATTTCCTCAGCAACTTTGGTTGCTACACCGAGTCACTCATTAGCTCGAATTCATGTTCTACTGGTTTAGCTACATTCTATGTTGATTTGCATGTAACCCTGCTTGCATGGCAGCATCAGTTTGAATTTTGAAACAACGCCCATTGAATTTTATAGTTTTGAGCTGGTTGAACTGTCTACTTTGGGAGGATAGTTGTTGAATTTCGTTAGTCTATGATCATATCTTGCAGGAGAGGAACAGCCGAACAGGACGAGCATTTGGGAGGGTGGAGCTGGCAGGCTGAAGGTGATACTGCAATGTCTGAGCGCCACAACAATTCAAAGTTGCCTTGTCTTTGTCATCTTGGTTTACTAGTAAGTAGATGCTGAAGAGTGTTGCATTTGCCTGTCCTTGTCCATTGGTCTTGTGCTGTTCACGCAAATGAAAACCGCCCTAGTTCTGTAATCTGTACTCTGAACATGTGTTGAGGTAAAGGATTTTTGGGCTCGGTTAGATGTCCACAGAACATGAGGGGGATGGCCGGTGTCGGTGTCTCCAACTCCAACCAGTCCATGGGCCGAAATGGGCCTAAAGCTTCTACAGGGCCCAACGAACATGGCACACGCAAAAGTGCAGCTCTGCAAGCCTTCGAGTTCTTAGCTCCCTTCTTCTTAAACAAAACTGAAAACCAGAAAACAGGAATAGGAATAGCCAGAAAAACTGCAACTCAGTCCATTGCTCAGGCACGACCAGCTGACCAGATCTAGACTTCTAGTTCTATACTAGGTGTAACTGATGCCACTACGGCACTATCTACATAAATTTGACCCTGACCCCATTTCCTAAAAACTAACGAAAGCGATGGCATGCAAATCTGACCCAACACGAACACGTACAGACGACGACGATCGTCAAATTAAGAAGCCCAACCGGATTGACCATCTGACGGAAGATCATGAAAGCTGTTAGGTCCGAGCCATGTTGCGCCTCCGCCTAATCCCATTCCGAGAGGAGCCGGCACTGACGCTGACTCGTCGCAGATCTACCATTTTCTGAAACGACGGGACAAGAAACGCATGTACCCATGGCGAGACAAAGACAAGCACCGCAGCTGAGCACTCGAGCAGGATGAGGATGTGGTGAAGAGGCGAACGTGTTGAGCTCCACTCCACGTCTGCACTCTGCACTGCACTGCACCCCAACCGCTCTGAACCAAACAATCGCTAACCACCTCCGTCCGGCATTCCTCCACGATCTGAAACCCAACACGGAATGCAAACCTCCCCCCCCCCCCGCAGCAAAATCTAAACAAATGCTCGTCTCTCTCGCGTGACCAACCTTTCCATCTCACCACTGCTCCAAAAATATTCACACACATCACCAATAATCCTTCCATATGTCCCTTGTCCCCGCGCATGAACCGCAGCACCGAAATTTAGCCGAGTACAACACTGGACCCGCCTGCAATCCGCTGGATGGAAAACGTCGCAAACTGACACGGGAAAACAGGTAGCTAGCAGTAGCACTGGCACCCTGATGTCTCGTCTACGCACTAGCTACGTGCACGCGAAGTGTCAGTTGCCATTGCCAACGATGCCGTGAACGGGACGTGCCTCCGGGCTCCGGCCTCAGATGACACGAAAAAACACGTCCCCGAGCGAAGCCGAAGCCCGGAAGCCGTGCACACAACACCACGGCCTTCCGCCCTGAATCTTGCGTCCAGCGCGCCGAACCGACGTGCCTTTTTCTGCGTCCGGTAGCGCTAGACAGACGAGCAGGCGGTGGGCAAACACACACACGGCCGGGCGCGGCCTCGAATTCAATTCCGTCACCACTTTCTCCTCACGCCTCGTCCAACGTCTCGCATCCCATTCCGTCCTCCCCCATTCCCTCGTCGTCGTCGGTCGTCACCCCGCTCAGGTCTCATGTCATGCAACGCAGCGTGCGGCGCCACACAATCACAGCCCCGGCCGGTCGGCTCGCGCTAGCCCTATATATCATCCTCATTCTCATTCCCTGACCAGCACTGATCACCTCCCTCCGCGGCCGTCTCCCGACCTAACTGTAGCAGCTAGCTGTTCCGAGCTCCACGCGCGCTAGGCGTCACGTGCTGTGATCACCTGGCCAGTTAGACTCGACGGGACACCCTGACCCGCGCGCGTGCCGTGGGACGTGGGACGTGGCCATGGTCGCCGCCGCCGCCGGGTGCAGGCGGCGCCGCTGCATCTGCTGCGCGGCCGCCATGTACATCCTCCTGGTCCTGCCCGTCGTCGCGTCCGCCGCGGCGGACGGGTTCATAACGTGGGACGACCTCAGCATCCCGGCCGCCGCCGCCGTGCAGGGCGCCGTGGGCGGCGGCGGCGTGAAGGCGGCCAGCAGCAGGGGAGCCCGCGACCTGGACACGATCGTGGTGTCGCAGGACGGGGCCGGGCACTCGCGCACCGTGCAGGGCGCCGTCGACATGGTGCCCGCCGGCAACCGCCGCCGCGTCAAGATCCTCGTCAGGCCCGGCGTGTACAGGTGCGTTGCGTTGGCTGCCTGGCTGATCGCCCGCCGCCGTGCTGCTTGCTATGCCTGAATGCATCCACTGCCGCCTCTCTTCTTCTCTTGTACTAGTAACTGCCTCGGCGTTAATGGGGGGTATTAAGTGATCACGACGTGTGCTCGATCGTCTCCCTCTCTAGCTTGCCTCTTGAACTCGTCTTAGCTGCAAACTTTCCCGACCCCTTTTCCGTTTTTTTTCCTCTGTTTTGCTTTGCATGTTTTGCGCAGCCAGTTCATTCAGTTTGCTACTAGTAGCAGTTTTCCATTTTCCTGTCAGGGTTTAATAAAACTTGAAAGCAACTCGGTGTAGCGTTTGTCTGCCTTGCGAACCGTAATTTTTATGCAGTACAGGCATGTGCTGAATTTGTGCATTGCTACCTTAACTCCGGTAATGCATCTAGTTTATTCTAAATACTAAAAAAATCTGAGTATTGTAAAGCACAAGAAATTAGTACAAAACTAAGGTGTGCATCAATGGCGGCGGCCGGGTGGGTGCAGGGAGAAGGTGACGGTGCCGATCACGAAGCCGTTCGTGTCGCTCATCGGCATGGGCAGCGGCCGCACGGTGATCACGTGGAACGCCAGGGCGTCGGACATCGACCAACATTCCGGCCACCAGGTCGGCACCTTCTACTCCGCCTCCGTCGCCGTCGAGGCCGATTACTTCTGTGCCAGCCACATCACCTTCGAGGTACGTACGTGCGTGCACGTCGTCGCGCTCTGCCTGCGTGCGTGATCGGGTTCATCCTCTGACGATCGACATGGCTGCGTGCTCTCGTGACCCGCGCGCAGAACTCCGCGCCGGCGGCGCCGCCGGGGGCTGTGGGGCAGCAGGCGGTGGCGCTGCGGCTGTCCGGAGACAAGACCATGCTGTACAGGTGCAGGATCCTGGGGACGCAGGACACGCTGTTCGACAACATCGGCCGCCACTTCCTCTACAACTGCGACATCCAGGGCTCCATCGACTTCATTTTCGGGAACGCAAGGTCCCTGTACCAGGTACGTAAATTCCTTTTCTTTTCTACTGCTGACCTGTAGCATTTAATTTTTGTTGTTGTTTTTTGTTGTTGAGAGAGACACACAATCTCTGAAATTCATCAGACATTTATGCCCCCTAAACACACTGCCCTGTTTTGATGACCACACTACTGGTTTCATGGTGACATCATTGGCTTCCCATCTGCATGCCTTCCACCCTTTGATGGGTGCTGCCGGGTTGCTATCAGAAAATCACAATTCAGGCACTCAGCCACTCACCAACCCTCCCATTTCATAGTCTTGCAGCAAGAAATGCTCCACCTTTTTGTTTCTCACTTTCTCTTTGTCTAGCTATTGGCACACAAGCTAGGTTACCAAGCCAGCTCGGTGGAACCACAGGTCGTTAGGCACTTAGCCCTGCACGACGCTTGAAACACTCTTACACAAATCCATGCTGAAAACCCTGTCAGATCCAGTGGTCACATTCCTTTCGTGCCCTGGCACACAACTGTAACATAACACCAGAAGCAAATCCGCGAGGCCAAGTGGCAGTCAGGGCGATAATGGATCCCTTCTTGGTTCTGGCTTCTGATTTCTGAACGTTCCAACGGTAACCGCGCGCAGGGGTGCAAGCTACACGCGGTGGCGACGAGCTACGGCGCGATCGCGGCGTCGCAGCGGAGCTCGCCAGCGGAGGACTCCGGGTTCTCGTTCGTGGGGTGCAGGCTCACCGGCTCCGGCATGCTGTACCTGGGCAGGGCGTGGGGCCGCTACGCCCGGGTGGTCTACTCCTACTGCGACCTCAGCGGCATCGTCGTGCCCCAGGGCTGGAGCGACTGGGGCGACCGCTCCAGAACCAAGTGAGTACTAACATTCTGTTCCCTTCCCTTCACTTCACTGCTGTAGTTGCAATTACAGTTGCTGAACTGGTTTTACTGTTAACCTGGGGGTGGGGGTGGTGATGATGATGATGATGATGAGATTGTAGGAAGTAGGTAGGTGGTTGCCTAGCAGGACAGGCTCACCAAACGGTCTTTACAGGGAAATGCAACGCAGTTAGTTTACCACGTAGATGTGACTCGCCTGTTTGTTACCTGACGGGCCTTCCAAACCTGACGAAAATGATCCGGCACATTGCTGGACTGCTCGTCAGAGAGTGACATTTCTGGGCTCGTTTTTGGACAGGACGGTGCTGTTCGGGGAGTACAACTGCAAGGGCCCAGGGGCGAGCACGAGGCAGCGGGTGCCTTGGTCCCGCTCGCTCACCTACAACGAGGCGCGGCCCTTCCTCGGCAGGAGCTTCATCAACGGCGAGCAGTGGCTCAGCCTGTAGATCCGATCCGTCCTCTCGGCTGCCGAGCTTCGTCGACGGCGAGCAATGGTCCGAGATGTGTGTAGATCCTGCGACTTCTCCGGTCTTCTTCAGTGCAGATAGTGTAGCAAGCAGCTAGTCAGTACACATGTACGCTGTACAATATACTACTGCTAGTACCATGTACAAACCTGACACCCATATATGTAGTGAGATACTGAGATGGCCCTGTCCATCATGGAAAGGTACAGAGTTTGCATGTATTATGTGAAGGAAAACAGGGGAGCCAAAGTCCGTCATGTCATGTGAATGTGATACGCCTCGTGCAGATGGGACCTCAGGCCCAACGTACCAGAAAATCAAAATGATGAGATCATGGCATGGCTTTCCTGACTTCTAGCACGGGTAAGTTCAGATCCAGAATGCCAATGCCACAAATAGATGGCACATGACTTTGAGAGTGAAAAAATGCTCTCATTTTGCAGCCTCTTCAGATCAACATGCGCAGCTGCAGTTCAAGGGATGGCACGATGGTCATCATAGCGATCAGAACGGATCATCATGATCGACTGCGATTATCATCAAAGTACCAAAATGTAGACACACCAGACCACACAAGTGTACATACCCATATAAAAATTGCAATACAAGCGAGGAAGGGCGATAATTTCATTCTGAAAATAATTGACTGAGGCGGATTGAACTATACTGAAGCAGAAAACACTAGCAGATAAAAAATCATATAGATTGCTATACAACGCGCCTGAAAAGGGTACCATTCAGCTTGCAATCCATGTGACTCTTAACATAAACACAACTACCAGCAAAATAAGAAAACTAGGAGAGGTTTGTGTATGGCAAAAGAGGCGACAATACGCTCTGATATCAGCAGCATAGTAAAACCCCGCCATTGGGGGTTTCAATTACCATTTCTATAGCTATGTACACGAGTCTAATGAGTTTGGGGATCCCAAACATGTCTTGCTAACATCTACACCTACTTCCCCGTTGCATTTCTGTTCAGCATCATTGTCATCTCTGGGACGCTTCCCTAGAATTGTTCGCTTGTCATCCTCCACAAAAGCTGAGGCTTCATCAGTCATACTATCATCCCTGGGATGCTTCCCTAGAATTGTTCGCTTGTCATCCTCCACCAAACCAGAGGCTTCATCAGTCATACTAACTTCAGATTGCCTACTTCCTTCTGTTTGTTTATTATTTCCATTGGAGCTTGCTTGGGTACCTGCAAGCTTTTGCTCAGGTACAGGTTTAACTCCATTGGAATTTGGTTGGGTAGCTGCAAGCTCTTGCTTAGGCACTGGTTTATCTCCACTGGAGTTTGCTTGGGTAGCTGCAAGCTCTTTCTCAGGCACTGGTTTATCTCCATTGGAGTTTGCTTGGGTAGCTGCAAGCTCTTGCTCAGGCACTGGTTTATCTCCATTGGAGTTTGCTTGGGTAGCTGCAAGCTCTTGCTCAGACGCGGGTTTATCTCCATTGGAGTTTGCTTGGGTAGCTGCAAACTCTTGCTCAGACACAGGTTTATCTCCATCGGAGTTTGCTTGGCTAGCTGCAAGCTCTTGCTTAGGCACAGGTTTATCTCCATTGGAGTTTGCTTGGGTAGCTGGAAGCTCTTGCTCAGGCACTGGTTTCTCTCCATTGGAGTTTGCTTGGGTGGCTGCAAGCTCTTGCTTAGGCACTGGTTTATCTCCATGGGAGTTTGCTTGGGTAGCTGCAAGCTCTTGCTCAGGCATTGCAGAACTGCTGGAGTCTATCACACCAATAGGTGGTGCATTATCAGCTTGCTTTGTTCGGACACTATCTGAAGGTATCCGTGACAACACATCTGACTTTGTTTCAATATCAACCCATCGGTTCTTGACCCAATCTTTAGAGATTCTAACATTCCTTAGCTGGCATGGACGAAAAAAGTTCTCTCCTGTAACGAAACAACATCATTGATTCATTAGTTTCATCATCTTCATGCATGTATGATGAAGAATGATATAATTAATTAGAAACACTTAGTATTTGTGGGATACAATATGATTATCTATTATACAATAGATAACACATGGACATGGTTTCCTAACAGATTTAATATAAGTGAATCGGTAAAAGCATACTCCCTCTGTCCCATATTATTCGCACATCTGTGATTTGAATTTTGTCCCACAATAAACGTTACACATAGGTTGAGATCGTAGGCAGAAGTTACCAGAACCTCGTGGCATGGGCCAAAGGAATAAAAAAAAAATTGACTAAAAAAAGGTAAAGAAATCCGATGGAGGCTTTGCAACCGAACTGCGCTGCTTCCAGTTCACTCGTTCCACACAGAGGTAGCAGTGTGTCAGCTTTTTTTCATAGGCTTTATAGGGGCAGCAGTGTCATTTGCCATCTATCCTAAGTTTCTCGTTTGAAAGCCAGATGTGCGAATAATATGGGACGGAGGGAGTACATGAAAAGATTAAAAGTGGAAATGTCCCAAAATTTGAGTTCTAATGGTAGGAACATGGCACATGGTACGCACCACCTAGATTCTACTCTCTTAGTTCTAGACAATTAATTTGTCAAGAAAGATTTTTGTTTCTCATTAGCTTGAGAGAATCAAATAGGAAATACAATTAAATTAAACAATTGAAATGCACCTGGAAAATATACTTGAAGGCTATCTGCCACAATGTTGTCCAAACTGACAACAAGTCCTTCCCACCAGCCACTAAATTGCCAGACATCAACAGCAGTTCCAGGTAAAAGAGCAGCACCATCAACAGAACTATTTTCTTGAGGACGCGGCCTGATTCTTAGTCGGTCTTGGCATCTCAGTCCCAGTTTATCAGGAAGAGCCAATGCAGAGGCAGGTACCATCTCCTACATAGAAGCATATAAAATCCTATTGATACACCAAGAAATAATCTAATATTTTTAGCAAATAATACAAAATACATTTCATGCAGGCACGAAAGAGTAGATAGTGACATTGGGTGTGCTCGCGTGTGTGGGATTATAATGCATTATGCCTTTCTCAGTTATACTTATATCTAGCCTAATTTCAAACTCAAGTAATCAATCATACCTCCAATCTCCCACTATCATCAGCATTTTGGAGATCATCATACTGAACCTTCAATTTGTTATGATTAGTGCATGACTTCAAAACAGTGCACCTGAACCAGCAACCAATAATGCCACTGTCTTGAGACAAGATCTCTAATCTGTCACCAGTATTATATGTTGGCATTAGTTTATTCTGGGGCACTATAAAATTGATTGAGAGATGCTTCCCAGGAGGTTGCTCGTTACTTAATATCTGATAAGATGGTATGGAGTCTGCCTGTGGGCTTCGACAAATTTTAGTGCCCAAACATTTTGAATAAAGCCTCTCTAACTGCTTCGGAAACTTAGTTTTCCCAGGTGTACAATATTCACCGTCCTTTTCTGACTCAGCTGGAATTTTCAAGGACAGAACAACAGCTTGACTAAAATATCCACGCAGTGATCTTAAATCAAAATGCTTGAATTTATTTTTACTATACTGGCGAAAGCAGAAACGGATCCCGGCCAAAGAAGAAGTTGGCATTGCATTGGAGCACTTTTCATAATGATCGGGAGTTAAAACAGTTGCAATATCATCAACACATTCCACACTGATTACTTGTGTAAAAGGAGTGATGAAAACTTCGCAAGGATGAGGGGGAGGAGGAGGTATAGCACAAGCGAATTCCTGGTTTTGATGAAACCATCGCACTTTGATCTTCTTCTGTCCCTTCTTATCTTCATACATGTCTTCCAAGTATGCAAGATAGCGATTTTCTTCCTCTGACAAGACCAGCACAAAAGTGTGGGTCTGCAAAACAAGATGCCATAAGATATTCTATAAATGACTCTTGAGTAATGCACAATATCATGACGGAACTTACGGATATTGTGGTTCCGTTGCGACAAAAAGCTCGATAGTGCCGAAGCTGTTTGCCACATGTCCAGAACGAACCAGACCATGTAATGTCTGAGCTGCAGTCTTTCCCCTAAGAAGGATAACACGAAAAAAAAAAATCATTGACCTCATGGTATATATGGAACCAAAGTACACAAATTTACATGTTACAAGTGATGACTTACCAGATTTTGGTGCAAAAAGCTATTTGTTTCCCCGTATCCATCTAACCCACTGTCATTATCCGCAAAAGATCCGTATTTTGAGAATTCTGGAATGGACAACAAATTATTACAACTACAAATAAAGGCCAAATTTTTTTGCCAGCATGCAAAGGTGTGTGTGTGTGTGTGTGTTGTTGTGGTGGTGGTGGTGGCGGCTCCGTGGCGGTGTGTGTATGTGTTGGGTGGTGTGCGTAGACGGATCAGGATGGTCATTGGAGGCCATCCATGGTCTTTGGGCATCCCTCTCTGCAGGTTTCTTAGCAGATCAACCTTCTTCCACTTCTCTTTCATGGTAAAATGTATATAAGACGAGTGAAGATTTTTCAATGTGTTTGAGAAGCCCTTAAGAAAGGCATAAATTTGCTGTATAGTGCTTGTCACACTCAATTACTCAAATGCTTCTTCAATAAAGAGCGAAAGGAGGCCAGCTACCTCAGAGTTTACAGATTTCAAACTGTCACTACTAGGCTGCAGTCATAGTTTTAGAGCATAACTTCAGCGTTTTGGCTTTCAGAGCAAAATTTAGGTTCCAAAAACCATAAACATAAGATCTAAACGAACAAGAGTGATGGGTTAAAAAATAAAATCATGTAGTGAGTGGTGAAACGAAACAGATGAGAGCGGTAATTACTTGAGTCAAGTGCCTTCACCGGAAGGAAGGACGCGAGCCAATCCACCACCTCACGGCGTGACCGCCACTTGCGAGCAAACACCGGCGGCGCGGCGCCGTCGTCAGCGCCGCCGCCGCACCCCCAGGCGGCGCTGAAGTCCTCCGAGACCACGTAGAGCATGTGGCGAAGGCTCCTCTCGGTGCCGACGACGGCGAGATGCGACACGCCGGCCGCGTCTTCGAGGTAGTAGTGCACGACGCGGCTGCCGCGCTCCTGCGACACGAACTCCTCCCTCCACCGCACGAACTGCGGGCCGTCCTCCCTCGCCATCCTCGTCCGCAACGCTAAAACGCCGCCAAGGAAGGACGCCCACACACAGGCCTGGGGCACGGCACTACCCGGACGGAGGGGCCGCCGCCAGCAGCACGCTCACGTTCAGGGCCTGGGAAAGAGAAGGAGGAGGACTTACGGCCCTAGGGGCTCTCGGTTCGCAGGGGAGAAGGAAGGGGTGCCTCTCGGAAACCTCGGAGGACTGTCTGAGGAAACAAAGGGAGTCGGAGAGGGGCGGCGGCCCGGGGATTCTAGGAACCCCGGGCAGGAGTAGGATTTCCTAGGGGCTCAGAAGGATTTGGGGGCAGTTGTCGCCGGCCAGAGCGGCTTGAAACGGAACGGGTTCAGGCTGAGCAGGAACTCCTCCATGCACCGGAAGGCAGCGGCGAGGCCACTCCAGCGCTGATCCTTGTCTCGGAAACCCCCAGAAAATCCCTCAAAAGTGACGCCACAAGGAAACCCAACGGCGGCGGCGGTGGTGGCGGCGGCGGCGTTCAGGGAGACCAGTGGCAGGCCGTGCGGACGGAAGGGGCGAGCGAGGGTTTCCTCTCGGGACGGGGGAACTCGTGCGCAGGACGGGATCTCTCTCTCTCTCTCCGAAGAGGCAGGGAGAGGAGGGCGCGGCGCGAGGGAGGAGGAAGGAGACGGACAGGTGGGAGAGGCGAGGATGGTGAGGAGCGAGAGGGGGCGAGGGGTCGATGGGGGCAGGAGGGAGGGCAAGGGGAAGGGCCCTCTCTTTCGGGAGAGCGCAGCGGCGCAGGGCCGCAGGGGCAAGGGCAAAAACGGGTTGGTGGTTTTCCTTCGGGGGGCAGCGCGGCGCAGCGCAGCCTGTTTGGGTTTCGGTTCGTGACTCGTGAGGATGAGGTTGTGTAGTGATTGATACTGATAGAAGGAACAAAGTCAAAAACAGCGGTGAGCTGATCTCACGGATCATGGTTTTGTCCAGACTCCAGACTCCAGAGTAACCGTGCCTTTAACAGTTTATAAGAGCTGTGGTCTGGAAGATCAATGATAATAAATAAGGTGAATTTCAATTCTAAGAGTAGACCAGTTTCTTTCTACGGCGACTATCCACGGCGAATATAATATAAATATGAAAATGGAAGAATAAGAGAAAGGAAAAAAAAAAAAAACACATCTATGACTTCTATCAGGGAGGGGGGTTATCATGCGACCCGTCACGCTATTGGGGATCGTGCGACCCCCTTCTTCCTCCTGGTGCTCCTCCTCCCCATGTCCCTCCTCCCCGCGCCTGCCCTCCACCGAAGCAGAGACACCCCGGGCAGCAGAGCACACACCGCACACCACTGCGGCAATGGCGCGTGCCCCACCACCCCGGCTCCCGCCGCGCCGCTGCCTAGGTCCACCACCCAAGGCGGCCCCTCCTGCCCTAGCTCCCAAGGCCAAGGCCACCCGCGCCCGCTACCTCTCCGCCGGTGGCCGAGCCAGCTCGCGGGAGGGAGAGAGAGGGAGGGAGAGGAAGTGGGGTCGCGCGGTCGCACTCCACCGCGACAATCGCGTAGTAACATTTGCGTTCTATCAGGGTTTCGGAATGCTTGGAGGTTCTAGTGATGTACCTTTCATTTTCCTTTTAGTTCTATGTCATCTATTAACTAACGATGTCGACTATCATCGCGTAAAGGATGTTCATAGTTCTAGTGGACAAACATGGGCCAAAAACATATTAGAGAAAGCCTCGTGTAGTCGTGTTTCTATCATTGCGTGTCACGGTGTTTCACCCATTGGATAGAGTGAAAGGATCGAATGAACCAAAATAAAGGTGAGTTGGGGCTAAAAAAAAATTTAAGCAACAACCTTAGCATAGCAACAACTGCTTCATCTACTTGTGTGTAGTCATAGAACTAAACAAGATCACACTAAAACCAAGTTCTTATGGCCATTGCAGTAAGTACTTCCTTAACCCTAGGCATACTAGCATGATTGTTCTTAGTTGAAAAGGTAAAGCCTATGACCTAAGAGCATATTAGCATGGAAATGAACCTAAATGTCATTCGGTGGCTTCTTGCACTCACAAACACAAAAGCAAGTATTAAGTAAGATTAAGACTTGAACTAAATGCTCGCAAAAGAGAGGACAAGAAATAATTCAATTTTTTTTCATGTACATGTTTGGCTTCACTGATGAGGCTTTCTCGGTTGCTTTTTACATCTGCTTGAAAACAAGGCTCTAGGGATTGCCTATGTGACCATGAGTGAGTCCCACTATATGTTGTGATTAAGGACTTTCCTCGCCAAGCACTACTATAATGTACAATAGTGTTGCAATTCCTGCTGCATTGATTCCCCTTTTGTGCATGATGTTATGGCCCTGTTTCGCTTCTCTTATAATCCGTCTTTTTCAGCTTATTTTTTCAGCCGGAACAGTGTTTTCTCTCTCACAACAAATCAGCCGGAACAATATTTCGGCTTGTTTTTTTTATTGATGCGAACGGGGCCTATTTGTTGTGTAGTGACTTACCATCTTTATTTAATTATGCTAGAAAAACACTAACTTTTGTTGTAATATAGTGTGGCCTTTCTAACCTGCACAGATAGGTGATACCCACATGTGATGTGGATTCTAGGGCCCTAGATCAGTTGCCTAGTGGTTGTGTGCCCCTAAGCTTAATCATTAATTAGATAGTGGACCAATGGTTTCATGGATCAATTAGCTAAATATTATTCAATGCTTGATATATAAGCTCCTTCCATATTCAATTACCTGGTTTGTCATTGCCATTTCCAGTGATGAAATCGTTTGTTGTTGTGATGAAAACCTCTTTCATGAGTTGCCTTTTTGTTTGCCATCTTATGCCTGTCATGAAAATTTTGGGGCATGTGATGAAAACCTCCATCCTAAGTTGCCTTTTGTTTTGTCACCTTCTTATGCTTGTGATGAAGATTTTTATATCCATAACTTATGAGGGAGGTATTGGACACCAATTATTCTTACTTGTTGTTACTTACCTACTAATATTACTACACATTGTGCCTTTTTTACACTTTCCGTGTCCTTAAGATCCAACACCATGATGATGATAATGTTTTTCCTAATGCCACTAAAACATGCATAAGTTTTAGAATTTCCTACAAGTTGCTTGTTTGTTATGTTAACATGTGGTGCTTGTGATGAAAATAGACTTACATTTGCTATCTTCTTGTGGATATGATTAAGATTTACATATTATTCATTTATGATGAGGGATGTTATCTGATGATCAAACATCTTGTGAGGTACTAGGCATGGTAATTTTTCTCTTTGCTAATAAACTTGCTACGATGATGTGATGATTGATAAATTTCTTAGGTTTGTATGAAATTAGAACATTTCTATGCATGCGGCATTCTCTCAACCTTTTGCTACCATCATATGCCTATGCAAAATGTAACATGTCCATAATATGATGTTCTCATACCATCTGCTACCATCTCAAGTATCCATGTTTAATTGGATTTTGTAATATAGTAATCATTCTTGTTAAACTAAGTGGTCATGGTTTGGTATGTGGTTCATGTTGGACGACAAATTGAGGCATTTTCTAGCTGGGATGTGTCCATTCTATAGTTGTTGGCTGTCGACGAAATATGGTCGGCAGTCCACCGAGGGAGGTGCCCGTGGTGGTAGATTATCGGTAGGATGCGTGTAATTAGAAACCGTATGGTGACACAAGGCGCAGAGACAACGATTTAGACAGGTTCGGGCCGTCTGATCGACGTAATACCCTACGTCCTGTGTCTTTGGTGTATTGTATTGAGATGTATATAGATTAACTTGTCCCCTAGGGGACCCTTGTCTCTCCTTATATACTCCGAAGAGACAAGGTTACAAGTAAAGTATCCAATTTGGTACTATTACAATATCTAGTACAACTTGTAATCTTGATGTGCACGCCTTGATCTTACGGGCGGGCCACCTCGGATGGTGCAGCCATGTACCATCTTGTGGTAAGCGCCATGTATTACGATCGACACGCCGTTTCAACCTTCTCCAACAAGTGAGGCTTGAGTTCTTGACATCTCCGACCACCGTTGTCATGGAGAATAGGTTGTCCAAGAATGTATGGTGCTCTTAAGAAAAAAAAAAAAAGATTTCCGTCACGGGAAGTGTGCCCACTTGTATTTCTCGAAAAGAAATGTAAGTGTGTCTTGAAGCGTAGCGTCTTTGATCGTTAGAGGCGAGTGGTCGAAAAACAAGCACATTCACCGCAAGGTGAAGTGTGCCCACTTAGTCCTCGAGCCTTGTAGTAGGTGACGAGGCACGTGGTGCCGAGGTCTAAAAAGAATTCCCAGTTAAGTTGAGAATCCAATCGTCAGACACAGCGATACGAGATGCATGCAGCGGTGCATCATACCGATGTAGTCCCCCGAGCTTTGGAAGGCGAGGTATGAGCCTTGTAGCAAGGTCTAAGTGAGAAAAATATCCCAACTGTATGCGAGTCGCCGATGCATGTAGTCGAGACGCAAAGTCCCCGAGTGTGGTCGGAGAGTGGTCGAGGCAGCCCTTGAGCATGTGTCGAGGAGCAGCGACGAAGTCCCGAGCCGTGGTCGAGAGTGGTCGAGGCATCCCGAGCATGTGTCGAGGAGCGAGCGACGAAGTCCCCGAGCCGTGGTCGGAGAGTGGTCGAGGCAGTCCCCAATCATAGGTCGTGGAGCGAGCGACGAAGTCCCCGAGCCGTGGTCGGAGAGTGGTCGAGGCAGTCCCCAAGCACAGTGCGGTCCCGGCGTAGGGTCGAGAAGCGAGCGACGAAGTCCCCGAGCTGTGGTCAGAGAGTGGTCGAGGCAGTCCCCGAGCACAGGTCGAGGAGCGGGCGACGAAGTCCCCTAGCATAGCTCGAAATTACTGCAATATAAATATGTAGAATGGTAGTACATGATGTACAAAGTAATAAATTATGGAGAAAATGACGCAGCGATCATTTGCAAATGAGCATGATGTGATAAAAGGTTGATGCTTTATAAACACCGATGTTAAAATGAAGTTTGTGTTTATACTTAATATAA